TGCAAAGCCATGGTTCTTCCTACCTGGTTGTCCTTTCTTCCACTCTCCATGGGTGTCAGAATTACTTCATCTCTAGGGTCTCCTTGCCTTGTCTCATTTCCTCTCTATCCTTCACAGGCCAATTCCCTAATAAATATCTTATGTTCTTTATGAATTTAGTAGAGCTGTGATGAAAAATCTCGGGGACTGGGAATTTAGCTCAGCGGTTCGGTGGCCTGCCTTGCAAGCGTAAGGACCCGAGTTCAATCCCCGGTACCAAAAAAAATCTCTTCAGATGAGGTGACTCAAACAAATGAAATGTATTGTCACCTAGTTTTGGAGGTTTGAAGTCCAAACTTAAGGTACAGGCCTGGTTGGTTCATTCTGAGGACTGTGAGGAAAGGGTCTCTTCTAGACCTGTTGTTGACATGTATGTGACTATTTCATGCTCACCTAATAATCAGGCTGTCTTCATGTCTATCTGAAAATTTCCTTTCCTCCTTCTTTTGCTTTTTAAGATAAGAACAATAGTCAGAATGGATTAGTGCCTACCTTAATGACCCCAGATGAACTTGCTTCCATCTGTAAAGACCTTGTTTCTAACATCACATTCTGCAGTTCTAGGAGTTAGCTCTCAACATACATTTTTGGAGGACACAGTTCTACCCATAACACATCCAAATCCCCACTGATGTCAGCTTCTTGAAGAAGTGGAACTAAAAATTGATGGGCTGTGTTTGAAAATGAGAAAGATATTAGATTAATCAAAAGAATTTTTACTGTGCACCAAATTTGGCTGGATTTCCTAAAATTGTAGACAACTAAAGTTGTAGCTCACAACTTTATTTTTCCTTATGTTGCTATGGCAAAATATAAACCATATTCAAATTCATTCTTGGTCACTAGTGAAATTAATGCTTGATCATCATTATACTAAAAATAGTCAAGACTAAATTTCTCTTTTGTATGAGTAGTTTTATATTTTTATTGAGATCTATTCTTTTAAACTGTCTCTAACCACACAGTGTGTGTGTGTGTGTGTGATCTTCAGTCTAGTTTGAATGTGCTTTAGAATAAATTAAGAAATATTTTGTACTATTCCATGCTAAATACATACCCTGTAAATGTTCCATTAAAAAAAAAAGATGGATCGGGTAGAGACAGCAAGATACATTGATATTTTCTCTTTCATAGAGAAGTGAAATGAAGTGGCATTTTTTTATGTGGTATCAAATATTTTTACATGAAGTCTTATCAAGCTTGCTTTAGCAATTTTATTTTGATAGTATAATTTATGCATGTTATTGAAACAGAAATAGTTTTTTCCAACCAGAATATAATAAAATTTTAAGAAATTGCATCTACTGCATTAAAACTATTGTTTGAATCTCAACTTAAGTACCTAGAAGAAATCTAATCAGCAACATTTAACTGTGCATGCCATGTTCTAAGTGAACAATTCACTATAAGTAACTGTTCAGCTTTTTTCTTTTGCCTTTTTGGACTTCTATAATTTCATCTCTTTGTTTCTAGATCAAGTTATTATTTTTGTGTTAGTGGCCAGCAAACTATATGGTTTCATATTTCAATATGTATTAGGTCTAATAGAAAAATGCTCATATTTTAATTATGTGTTTATAAAACAATTTAGATGTTGTAAAGTTAATAAAACATTTCTTTGTGAGAAAAACATAAACCTTGGCTGTTAAAATTGCATGGGTTTTAAAGCCCACTTTATTGTTGAACAATAATCCACATGTGTGAAGAATCACTGCCTATAATATGTACATTTTATTGTATTTCATATTTTTATAGCTATGTAGCTGTCATGATTGTGTAGCTGTCATTGCCTGTATCTTTGGATTGAGGAAAGACGTTCTGGGAGAAATGGCATTTAAAATTTAAATTCTATTTAATAATACAGGTTTTTAAAATTCAATTTATTCTTGTATGGTTAGGTATTAATTTAAATTGCACTGCATCCCCTATTTATTTAGAGCTTTACAATATTTTACCTATTTGTATGAAATCAGTTCTTTTGCTAAAGAGATTCATGTTGAGAAGATAGCATTTGTTTCCATGATTAAACAAGTCTAGAATATAAAATATATGGAGAGTATGCGTATTGACCATATAGATTAGAATAAATAATAAAGTGGCCAAATCAGTGTAATCAAATATACCACACACACAAAAATAATATTAGGCGGATTTGTTTGGCCATTTCTTGGAAGAGTAGAAATTCCTTCAGCCTATAATGAAGACCTAGAGAGTGGAAAAAAATATTAGCTGATATTCATTTTAAAGATCCTTAAGTTCTGTCTTCCTATCCTTCTCTGTTTTAGGACTTATCAATGTATCTTGTGACAAGCAATGACCTGATTAGCAACAGATTGAAAATTAACGTATATGACCTGGAAGAATCAAATTTATTTCCAAAAATTACTTTAGATGTCATTAAACTCTTCATTCACTAGAAGTGCCAGATGTTTGGGAAGCCATATGGTTTAGAAAGTGGAGCAAAAAAACTGAAAAAAGGGGAGGAGGCAATGTTACAACTGTCGGTATCCACAACCAGTCCTGCCATGGAGTTTCACTCACACTTACAGATTTTTTTTTTTCTTTTTATCAAAGGAAATTTTGGAAAGCATCAACCTCTCAAACATATATTTAAGGAGATATTAATTATTAAACCATGAGGAACTAAAGGAGGCAGTGCTTTTACACATTTCTTAGTTCATCTTAGTTTTTTTTATTAGTTTTCCTTTTAATATCTTATAGTTCTAAATTAGAAGTTGGCAAACAGACTAAATCCTATCTGTTGATTTTTTTAAAGATGGTAAAATCTAGGAGATAAGAATATTTTTTATAATTTTAAAAGATTGTAAACAAAATAAAAATTCAGATAAATATGTGGCAGAGACCGTATGTGGCCTGTAAAACCTAAATTATCAGATGGTGTGGTTCACATGGTGTGTGTGTATACACATGCATACACACATATAAATATGTACTTTTTAATTTAGCAGTCAGCATATTTAATTTCTAGTACAAAAAGACTAATTTATTCTTCACATTGTCTTATTTTTGCTAGTTATAACATTTATTACCCCTTTCAGCTGTTTACATTTGAAACTATAAACAGTCTGCTTGCAACATTGTTGTTTGACCTGTCACCTCCAAGTGGGTATTTAGATAGGTCTGCTATCTATGATTGGTGGATATTATCTTCGGTTTTGTCCAGGCTTAGTAATATTTTTTTTTCAGCTTTAATTGAGTTTATTGGTACATTTTAGGGATACAGTACAGTTACATTCATTGTTGGGATCTTGTACCTCTACATGACAAGTCTTGATTCTCATTTTTTCCCCTTACCCCTGCCCTCCCTTTACCCTCTCCTCCCCTCCCCATCTACAAAAACTTTATTTTCATCTTTTCATTATCTCACATTTTTTTCTTTTCCCTTATTACCCTTCTTCTACCCATCCCACCTTCCCTACACCTTTAGCTCAGCGGTTCAGTGGCCTGCCTTGCAAGCGCAAGGACCCGAGTTCAATCCCTGGTACCAAAAAAAAAACTGTCACAGGCTTAGTAATATTTATGAATTTTGATTATTATGATCAGACACTATATTTGCAGACACTAGTATAGTGCTTTGTGTTTGTTAAACCTCATGTATTTGTGCAAAGTGTGCACATGATGTGTGTGTTTAATTCCTCTGTTTTCCAGGACTTTTCATGGTCGCTGCTAATTGCAGTTTGTACTATAGTCTAACTACTTGTTATCACAATCTTATTACATCAAGCAAAGTAAATCCAAATTTGAATAAATCAAATTTATGATCACTTGTTGAAAAACATTCTAATCTGTTTTTTAAATAGACACTTTGGTGAAACACCTCTCCCTCATTATGGAGTTGAGGCTGGCACATTGTTGGTGATTCAGGCACTGATTTCAGGGTGGTGATTTGGGATCACTCAGCAGTAAATCACTGTGACCCTCAACAAGTATTTAGTTCTCTACACCTTAATGTCAGGCACTGCTAGAAAGTGATCTTGCAGTTGAGTATAAGCAAACATGGTTGCCTCCCTCATGGAACTTAGTAGGAGAGACACATGAATGAACACCTACATAAATGTCCTCACATATGGGTGCGAGGTGAGCTAAAGGATTTGAAGGAAAACAAGTGACTGGAGAGAGAATCATGGTCAAGAAGTATAAATCATGATATATTTAGCATCCTAAAATCTTCGTTTCTCTAGGGTAATGTTTCTCTAACCAGGATACATAAAAGTCTGAAGTTTTTGTCAAACATAGACTTCTGGGTTCTATGTTCAAGTTAGGACTGGGTTAGGCTTGAAGATTTACATTTCTTGTAATTTCCTAAGTGATTGTGGTTCTTCAAATCCCTGGAGCTTTCAAGAATGACTGATTTAGGATAGAGGGTTTGAGCACATTATAATCACCTTGTGGAGTTTTCCTGCAGCTTCCATACTTAGTTCCTACCCATGGAAGCTCTAGTTTTATTATGACCTGAACATGGGGCTTGTGAAAAAGTACTTAGCAGGTTTTTCTGGTGTTTAGCCAGAATTGTGTGCTGTCAGATCCCCTGCCCCCTGCCACACACAATTTCTTACTCCTGCTAGTGTGGAGAATACTTTATCCTTTAAAGCAGTCAGAAAGAATGGAAGACCTGGGTCAAAGACTGGAATAGAAAATCTCAGTACAGATGTGATGCCTAAGCTTAAGAACTATCAGCACAGCTGACAGAGGCAGAAGAGCCTAACAGGAGAAATACTCATGGTGCACAAACATGTAGGAAGGAATAAGTTTTGTTTCGTTAATTATAAGTAGTCCCTGGTGGCATTTTGATGTTGTAGCTGAAATTCAACAATTTATGCATTGAGTATCTCCTGCATTAAAAACACATGAATAATTTATTTTTAATTTAAAGTCTGAAGTAAGGATTATGTATACTCCATTAAGCTAATTTTTATTCACTAATTTGTTCTGTTTAATAGGATGAGAAGGAAAAACAGAAAGACGAGGAGGTATGGTGTTTTGGACACTAACATAGAAAATATGGAATTGACACCTTTGGAACAAGATGACGAGGATGATGATAACACTTTGTTTGATGCCAATCATCCTAGAAGGTGAGTATTTAGGAGTTTAATTGCATGTGTCAGGAAACAAGTTTTTGCTAAAAAAAATTCAATTAGACGTTCGTGTAACAAGTTTTACACTGACAGATTTCATTCCGTTTTGTTTATATAATGAAATTCTTTGTGCTAGGCAGCCAGTAGCTCTCGTTCAATTCATAATGATGTGCTGGAATAGACCCCAACAGTATAATGTGGCCCAAAAGATTTTATTGTACAATTTGATACAGAGCTTTGACTTTTCAGTTACTCATTTGTGCAATATATTTTAACTGTGAGAAAGAAAGACAGAGAGATTGATTCCCTAACCTTGATTTTCTTTTTATAGTCTGAGAATATTTTGTTTTCCATTTGGGATATGTATTTGATTTTCTGTTAGTGCTTCCTTGGCAGAATTGTGGGGTTAATTGTCTCATGGTCTGATGTTGTAGTTACAATGTCTGTATCAGATCTCTTCTCACTACCTGTTAAGAACTTCACTAAGAGGTTAACATGAACAATATTACAAACATATGGAATTAGTTTCAAATAATGGAATGAGTGAAAGAGACAGTAAATATTCCAGTGAGCAAAAATGTCTTAAGATAAGTGAGATTTTTGGGGGGTAAAAGAAAGTAAGACTCCAGATTCTGGTACAAATTCAAAGACCCATAGAAATCTTGCAGTTGAAAAATAAGACACAACAGAAAATCAGGCTCTAAAATCTTAAATATTTAGAAATGAATTAATTATCAGCATTATTAAAAGCTCCTATGTGTACTTTTTTGTTTGTTTGTTTTGTTTTTTGTTTTTTGGTTTTTGAGACAGAATTTCACTATGTAGTTGAGATTGACCTGGAATTCACTATGTAGCCCAGGCTGGTCTTGAACTCACAGTGATCCTCCTGCCTCAGCCTCCTGAGTGCTAGGATTACAGGCGTGTGCACCACCCCTGGCTTCCTATGTGTACTTTTAATTTTACGTTTTATTAATTCTTTTTTAAAAATTCATTAAATTCCAGTTATATAATAAAAATATTAGAGGCTAGGTACACAGATATGAAGAAAAATATATCTGCTTATTAAAAATTCATTCTGTTATTAAAACAATCGACCTATTTCACCCTCTCAGTTATACCATTTGAACCTTATTTACACTTTTAGTTTTTCATACCACAGAAACTATTTGGTATTTACTTGTGTGTCCTATTTGTTTCACTTAGGAGTATGGCCTCAATGTGCATCTGTTTAGCTATAAATGTTTCTAGATTCTCATTCGTTATGGCTGAGTAGTACTCCATTTTGTAAAAAAAAAACCACATCTTCTTTATCTAGTCTCCAGTTGGAGGGCATTTGGGTTATTTTCAAGTTTTAACTATTACAGACTGTTCTGCTATAAACATGGGTGCACATATACCACTGTGGTATGATTCTTTTAATTCTTTTGGAAAGATACCCAGCAGAGGGATAGATGGGTCAAATGGAACCTAATCCTAGTTCTTTGAGGTATCTCCATATTGATTTCCACAGTTGTTGCACCCATCTGCCCTCCCACCAACAATGGAGAAGGGTTCCTTTCTCCCCACAGCCCTGCCAGCATTTGTTATTGGTTGATTTCTTGATAGCAGCCATTCTTTTTGGGGTGAGGTGGAATCTCTGTGTTGTTTTCATCTGCATCTCTTAAATGAACAGTGATTTTGAACATTTTTCATATATTTATTTGCTGCTTTTACTTCTTTGAGAAATGTTGTTCATTTCAGATGCCCATTTTTGAATCAGGTCTTCGTATTTGGGGAGGGTCTGATTTTTTTTAGTTCTTTATGTATTCTAGATAATAGTCCTTTGTCTGAGGAGTAGCTGGTAAAAATGTTTTCCCACATTGTAGTTTGTCTCAGCTCTGTTGGTGATTTCTCTTGCACTGCAAAAACTTGAATACAATGAGATCCTGGTTGTTTATTCTTTGTGCAAGTTCTTGTGCTGCTGAGGCTTTGTTCATAAAGTCTTCTCCTATGCCAATATCTTCGAGTTCTATCTAATTTATTTTCCAGTAAGTTTAGTGTTTCTGTTTTGATATTTAGATCTTTAATCCACTTGGATTTTAGTTTAGTGCATGGTGAAAGATAGGGATCTAGTTTTAATCTTTGACAATTTGAAAGCCAGTTTTTCTAACACCACTTATTAAAGAGGCTATTTTTCCTCCAGTCAGGATGGTTGGCTCCTTTGTCAAGGATGAGGAAGCTGAGTATGTCTGGTGTTGTTTCTGCATCTTCTAATCTATTCCATTGATCCTTGAGTCTGTTTCTTTTCCAGTAGCATGCTGTTTTTATCACAGTGGCTTTGTAGTATAGTTTCGAGTTGGGAATTGTAATTCCCCCCGCCACGTCTCTGTTACCTAGAATGATTTTTGCTATTCTGGGTCTTTTCTGGTTCCAAATGAGGTTTTGGATTTTTTTTCTCAAGTTCTGTGAAATATACTGTTGGGATTTCAATCGGAATTCCATTGAATGGCTAAAGGGGAAAGGAAATAAGGGAAAAGAAAAAAATGTGAAAAAATGAAAAAACTGGCTACAAAGACTTTTTAAATAAGGAGGGTGAAGGGGGTGAAGGGAGGGCAGGACTATGGGGAAAAAAACAAGAACCAAGATACATCACATAAAGGTACAAGATCCCAATGATAAATGTAACTGTATTGTTTGCTTGCAATATACCAAAAAACTTAATGCAAAAAAATCAAAGTTAAAATACATAAAATCAAAAGTTTATAACATTTCTTCTGAAAGCCTTTTGAATTCACTCTAAAGAATTATACAGTTTTCAATAAGACTAATACTCTTCTTTTTGACTGTTAACTTAGGTCTGAGCCAGAAATAGTTGTTGACTTGCATATTTACATTTGAATCATTGTATGTAATAGGTACTTGTCTTTATACATTAGGGTCAAAGGGAAACTAGTAGGAAATAGAGTTGGGAGCTAAAACTTACTGAGGGAATAAATCATTTCTCTCATTAGGACTTCAAGAAAGTGCTGATTAAATAGTATGGCAATAGTGTCATATTTTACACCATTATTATAATTTTGCAAGCTCTTATGGTTATTTTGAAACCAGATGGGTACATATGAGGCATCTCCTCTGCACATAGAAAGGGATGACAAAAACAAAATTGTTAGTAATTCAGAATTAACTCCAATTAGACAATGAATGTGAGCCTTGGCTCATCTGTTCAAACTTGCTTGATAAATGATAAAGCTTAGAATAAGATAAAGATAAAGATCATGAGAGTACTCTTTGGCAACTGATTGGATAACCTAGGAACAGTTAAGTTCCTAAAAATATGTACCCTGCTCAGTCTGAATCAAAAAGAAATTTAAAAACCTGAACAGACCAATAACAAAAAGTGATTGAACTCATTGAATCAGTCTCATTCCCTCGGCATCTGGGCACCCTGGTACTTGCCTGTAATCTCAGCTATACAGGGTAGGAGGACTGTTATTTGAGGGTCACTCTGATTAACATAGTAACGATACAGTGAGACTATCTAAAAAAAATATTCAATAAATGGATCTAAGAAACCTGGATATCTGCACACAGAAAAATAAAATAGAACCAGTTTTTCAAGCCATGTATAAAAATCAGTCCAAAATGCGTTAAAGACTTAAATGCCATAAAAGTTTTAGAAGAAAACATAGAGAAAAAACTTGATGCTGCTCTAGGCAATCTTTTTTTTTTTTTTTAATATAATCCCATAATCACAGGCAACAAAAGTAAAATATACAGTTCGGGTTCTACCAAAGTAAAAAGCTTACACATAGCCAAATAATTAATCTACAGAGTGAAAAGGCCATTTATGTAAGAGGTGAGAAAATTACAGCTTGAATATACTTTATCCTAGTTACTTGGAATCAAAAGTACTGCCGATTTTACATTTGGAATATTTTTCTGAAGGTTTTAGATTTCAAAGCATTTTGGATTTTAGCTATTCAATTTAGGGATTGATAGGTCTGACCTCCATTTGTTTTTCCCATCTGCTTGAGTTTCTGCAAAAACAGTCACAGCCTTTTCCTACATCTGGCAGCCCGGACCTGAGCCCAGGAGCAATGCCTGTTCTGCTAAGACACAGCTCACCTGCCCGCCTGCCAGGTCTCAAGGGCTCTTGCTGTAGCCCTGTCCTCGGCCATTCTGTCTCCCCACCAAGCCCAAACACTATGCATAAAAACAAAAAACAAACAAAAATCAATAAACTGGCCTCAAACTCTCCTTTGGGATCAGTCCAGGAGGTTCTGTCCAACCTTCAGGTTCCTGTCCAAATTCAGGGTGGCTATGCTCTTTATTGGGTTATCACTATTGACCTAAATATATGATTTGATATGTAAAATATATAGTTAATACTTATGAATCAATAGTAAAGAAAAAGAAAACAGAGAACTCAATTTATAAGTGAATGATAGATACTTGGATACTTGCACCCTGTTTAGAAATATAATTTGATAGAGCCATTATGGAAAAGAGCATAAAAATATCTCAAAGCCTTAAAAATAGCACGTACATTATCTGACAGTTAAGTTTCTGGGCATATATCCAAAGCAAATGAGTATGCCAGAGATGTCTGCACTACTGTATTCCAAGAGAATTCTTCACAATAGCCAAGCTATAGAAATATCCCAATGTCCAATGATGGATGGATGGAGACTGAAAATGTGTAAGGACAATGGATCTAATATATGTAAATGTGTAAACAATCAATTGAATATTATTAAGCATCAAAAAAGAAAGCTTTTATAGCTCTTATATAGCTGTTATAGCTTAACATGGTGGTGCACGCCTGTTAATCTCAGCATTCTAGGAGGGAAATTCAAGTCTAGCCTGAGAAACTAAATGAGAACCTGGCTCAAAATAAAAAATAAAAAGGGTTTGGTATGTAGCTCAATGAGAAAGGGATGGATTCTGAGATTTGTGACCACACAGGTGATGAGATAAAAATCCTCATCTTTTTTGTTTTTTTATGCTTTCGGGATGGA